GGGTAGAGAAACTGCAATACAAGGAAATCCTTACTCCCAGGTAGAGGCCTGAATAATAGACCCCTGTCCCTGTGCTTCCTGTCATTGCCATTTTCTCTCTGCCTCTTGTCACTGATCTTTGGGTCCTACCTAGCCTTGGGTTTTGTCTTCTCTTTAAGAGAAAGTCTTATCTGATAGAAATGAGATAATTTTCTCTGTATAGTTGTACCTCATTTCATTATATGAGCACCAACCAGACCACAGGCCACAAACTGGCTATAGACATGTTTTGTTTGATATGTGCAGTGTGTTTTAAAGTACTAAATTTTTTGTCAGCATGAAAGCAGGATTTTAATCTTTATTTCCAACTCCTGTTGACAAATCAGAGGAATGGGTGGCTCTGCGTCTGCGTTCCCGTGTGGCCGCACTGAGCTGGTGCTGAGGAGGATGGTCCCCTTTCAGCAGCTCCCGGGCTCCAGGGCATCGCAGTCGCGGGGCCTGCTTCCCTGTGGCTGGCCCTTGTGGGTAATGGAGTGTGGGGCCTCTTCGAGCCTCCAGGGCAAGAAAGCAGAAAGCACAGCAGAAAGCAGTCGCAGGCGCAGGGTGCGTTCTTGCATGGATGCGTGTAGCCTGCCCCAGGCTACCTGCCACCTCACAGTTGTCCCCTCTTGGTTTTGCAGCTGGCGGGAGGTCGACCTTCGGTCTCTGAAGGGGAATCCTGACGAGGAGAACGAGGAGGTAATGGCGTGGTCGTTGTCTCTTAGAGAACGTGTACACATGTGGGTGCAGACATCCAGGTGCCTCAGACCTGCAGATGTCAAGTGCAAGCTCCTTGCGCTCCTGTTCAGACTGGGAAGGGCCTCGTATGGGGTGGAGCTGGCTCTAAATTAATCTACCCGTATTAAACTCAGCTTCGGGGGTGGGGCAGAGGGGCTCAGTGAAGCTGCTCTGTTGCAGATCGAGGACCTATCTGATGCCGCCTTTGCCGCCCTGCATGCCAAATGTGAGGAGATGGAGAGGGCCCGGTGGCTGTGGACCACAAGTGTGCCGCCCCAGCGGCGGGGCAGCAGGTGATGGGGCCGGGGGTTGGGGGTTGGGGCCCTCGCGTCCATGGATGTGCTCTGCCTCTCAGCTGCTCTTTATGTTCATGGCACTGGCAGTGGCTGAGAGCGTGGAGGCCTTGGTGTTTGCTGGACCTAAGGAGGGTGTAGGCAGTCAGCGGCTGGGTCTTTGCAGAGGGGTCTGCCCAGTTCTGACAGTCTAGTGGCCTCCTGGGCCCCGAGAGCAGGCTCTGTGACATTCGGAGACCTCGGGCACCACAAGGACCCTTCCTGCGGTGCTGCTGGGAAGCACTGTGTCCCGCGTTCCTAGATGTCATATTCTGTAGCTGCCCCTTACATGGCAGCGGGAGGAATGAGGGGATTTGTGGTTCCTAGGAAAGAGCGGTTGGTGAAGTCTGGCTGGTATGCTTTTCTTCATGTCTCTTCCCCAGCCCCCAAAAGAAAAAGACTAGAAACCCCGTTACTCGGGCACTCACATTTTCACTCCTTGGTGTACAGGTCTTACAGGTCATCAGATGGCCGGACAACCCCGCAGCTGGGCAGTGCCAACCCCTCCACCCCCCAGCCCGCCTCTCCTGATGTCAGTAGTAGCCACTCTCTGTCGGAGTTCTCCCACGGTCAGTCCCCTAGGAGCCCCATTAGCCCGGAACTGCACTCGGCCCCCCTCACCCCTGTGGCGCGGGACACTCTACGCCACCTAGCCAGCGAAGACACCCGTTGTTCCACACCAGAGCTGGGGCTGGATGAACAGGTGAGGGTGCTGCCTCTGCATGGGGTTGGCAGGGTGGGGACAGCACCTGCTGAAGATGGGTCTTCAGCTCCCATTTTGAAGGGGACAGGGGGCTGCACTTGAAATTAACCTTCTGAAGGTACCGTGGAACTGGCCATTGTTAAAAGGCCACCCACTCTGTGAGGAGTCTTCCCGAATGACCCCAGGAACTCGAGAGAGAGACAGCATGGACTCCAGTCCACATTTTCGGGGGGCCTTGGGGCAGGAGGCAGGCTGGGGCTGGGTGGTCACCAAGGCACCTTGTCTGCCCGCAGTCCGTCCAGCCGTGGGAACGGCGAGCCTTCCCCTTGGCGTACAGCCCCCAGGCAGAGTGCGAGGACCAGCTGGACGCGCAGGAGCGGGCAGCGCGCTGCACTCGACGCACCTCAGGCGGCAAGACTGGCCGGGAGACGGACACGGCGCCCGCCTCACCCCCCGTTGTCTCCCTCAAGAGTCGGCACCTGGCAGCAGCAGTCACAGCTCAGCGTCCAACTCACAGATGAGCGGGATACAAGAATCTAAACAGACTCACTAACTATTGGCATTAAAGCTTCAGAAATCTCTGCGTTTGATATTCAAACATCATATGCCGGAAATTTTCACAGTTTTTAGTGAATTTAAGGAATTTAGATTCTACTTTTTTTTTTTTCTTTGTTTTTTTTCTTGTTTTGATTTTTGTTTTGGTTTTGATTTCCATGTTTTGCTGTCCCACACCTGAGCACTTCCTCTAGCTGGAAACAGCAGTTCAGGATAAGAGCCTGCAGGCCTGGTCCTGGCACACCCTCTGCACTGTGCAATCACTGGACGTAGCGATGTTTGATGATCACCCTTCTCCCTCGCACCCGTGGGCAGGGTGGACCAGCCAGGCGCGGAGGGAACGGACAGCACCAGCCCAGTGTAGCCGCCTTAGGTCAGGGCGGGAGAGAGCAGCACGCGTGGGGCTCTTACCCCACTCCGCTCCCCTCCCGTGTGGCTTGGCCCAGCTCTGGCCTCCCAGATGGGTCCCCTGGTCATCTGTGCTGGAGCGTCCCCACCAGAGTCTCTCGGCCGCAACTGCCAGCTGTACTCACTGAGCTCTCAGCTGACAGTGGCTTCCCCTTGTCATCCAGATCTCGGAGACCCGTTTTGGGTTCTCTCTGCATTTGCTCATCTCTGTTTGACTCCTTAACTGCAGTATCCTGGCTGCGGCTGCTCAGGTCCCCATCTTGCCCCTTTGTGCCCTCGTCTGCTCGCCCACGCTGCACACACACACACAGCAGTCCTCGCACTCGGACATCTTTACCACCTACCCTGGTCTGTGAAGGTAGGGTTAGGACTATTGAACCTGTTCCACTCCTGTGTGAACTGAGGGGTCTGGGAAATGAGCAGCCATCTCCTCTGTGTAATTCTGTTCCCACTGATTCCTGTAGTCGTTTCCTTCTGGCCCAGTTCCCTGTCAGTGTCAGTCCACCCTCCCTCTTTCAAGCTCTCCTTGCCTGTGGACATTGTCTGGTCCTGGTTGTGGTTCCATCACTCCCCCATGATCACCCCCTTGGTTAACCTTGTGCCTGTCACACGTACGATCACATTACCAAAAAGGGGGCAATAAGGACTTTTTTTTTTTCTTTTTGCCATTTTGTAATCGTATAAAAATAGTAGACAAACTGCTTAATGGTTGGGGTTTTTTCACAATTTTCAACATTAGTGATTTTTTTGATTCTGTTTGCAAGTTAAAAGGTTTGTCATTGTTTCTTTAAAAAACAATAATGCACCGTATCCCTATGCATAAAGTGCTTCTTCTATTTATAAGGTTGAAAATTCTGAATAACCCTTTTAGCGTTGTAAAAAAAAAAAAAAAAAACCGGAAAAAAAAACACCTTGTATTTTGTAAATATTTTCTTTTCCTGCTTTGAGCTGTGTATTGGCAGCGAAACATGTAGCTGTCTTTGTTCTATAGAAATGCTTTTCTTCAGAGAAGCTGATCTTTGTTAATGTCTTGATTCTGTTCGCAAAGCACAGACTAGTGCTTAAAAAAAAGGAAGGAAAAATTGAAAAAAATAATAAAAAAAAAGTTACAGAATGTTGTGTGCCAGGCCTTTGTTGACAGTTGGACATGGGAGGTGGCAGCTTAGGAAATGGCTCTCCTGGAGCAGTTCTCTGTTGTCCAACTTGCTCTGAACCTTGGGAATCTCCATTCTGTATTCTGGGCCCCTGGCAGGGTCATCTGGATGGTCAGCAGACGGAGGATGTGGTGATGGTTTTCACAGGAGGGGAGGGGTCTGCAGAGACCGTCTACCTTGTGCTTGGATGCACTTCACCATGGATCTTTCTGGGGTTGGGGGCCAATGAGAGAGACTGCACGGAGCCTGAGCAGCTCCTCACCTGCTTCCTGCGATTATGGTGTGTTCTGAGGAGGCTAAAGGCTTGATTTTCTTTGTACCAGATGAGTAAGTGGACGGGCCTGGTTCTTTCTTTACTTTTTTCTTTTTCATGGTAGTCAAGTTGAAACAGCCAGTGAGGCTGCCTGTCTGGCTGTGAAAGCCAGGAGTTGTGAGGTAGTGTTTCTGACTGCCCTGTTGCTCCTATAGTGGCAGTTAAGATCTTCTCTACTTAAGCCGTCTGCAGTGGCCAGAGCACACCAGGAAAAGCTGAGAAAAATATTTTGCAATTGCGTGAAAAGCCTACGGGTTCTGTGTTATGACCTTGACCTGATTACTAAGGAACAGTAATATGATGGGTCACTGTTACTGTTATTCCCCTTTGTGGCACTGCTAGGGACTCTCTGGTATCCCTGTCTCGATTGAGCAGACGCATTTCCCAATCTGTAATAAGGCTCCGAAGGAGAGGAAGGCAGCTCTAAGCCTGGGTGGAATCGGAACCATTCATTCCTTCAGCTGATCAGCCCCAGGCCTCTAGGCTAATTTCCAGGGACAAAAAGATGCCCCTACCCACCCCGGCTTCTCAGGTTTGAACACATTGGCCCAGGTCATACAGACTGAGCTCAGCCCAATGGATTAGTTGCCCTTTTGAGCTGGACCAGGACGGTGTAGCAGCACCACAATGAGACGAGAGAGCAGGTTAATTGTGGTGGCCAGGTTTTAACAATATTGCCATTCCCTGCTCTGAGCTAAGTTCTCCAAGGCTGGGGAAGGACTTGCAAATCATACATCCTATGTCATTTTCTTGTCTTGAATCCATGCACAAAGACCTTATTTAATCAGTAATAACTTTATTTCCAAATTCACTTTTACAGCAACAGTCAGTGTAAATCATTTGTTAAAACACACAATACACCATATGAACATTCACAGACAGGAAGCTAAGCTAATATGGTTTCATGTCCCTCCCCCCACCCTTAAAATGACTGAAGAAATCATGGGACTTGCAAGTGCCAGAAATTGTCCTGCCCAGCACTGCAAATTCACGGGCTAAGTCCATTAGGAGGTGAGACTGGGTCGGTGCCCAGGGTAACCCTTTTCAACACGGAAGAGCAACCGGAAGTCTCAGGAAGCCACGGGTCTGTATGTGGGACACGCTGATGATCTCCACCTCTGCCCTCATCCCCACCTCTTGACTTTATTTGGGGGACAAAAGTAAAAGAGGGTGAAGGAAGAGATCTTGGCAGCTGTGAGATATAGGCTGCGTGTCTGGGAGCTGGTGGGGAAGGACACGGAGGTGCCCACGGCTTAGAGGAAAGGATGCCAGGATCTTTGGGAGGCGTGACTGGGGGCTTGGGACCCGGCAAGAAGCCAGAGCAACCATATCTCCAGATTCCCCCATCCTCACTGCATGTGGCTGGGAGGGAGATGGGAAGTAGCGGGCAGCCTGCTGCACTTGGGAATCATGTCACTGAAAAGGTGAAGCCCCAAGGACCTCTAGCACACGTGGGTGAAATGAAGAAAAAGGGTTACAAGGCAGTTTAAAACTGCTGCGCTCCAAGACTTCCCTTGGCCCATGGTAACTATCTTACAGGTTCCTCCCCCCTACCCCCATAGCACAAGCAATCGCAAACAGGATACAGTCTCACCACTGAAGTCAATTTAAATGGAACTATTGATAGAGTGGAGAGCTTGAAGGAACCAGACATTTAGCATATCCTATCTAGCCCACCCAAGGGACATTGACAATGGAGGTGGGGAAGGGGGATGGGCGAGTGCCCAGCCCTTGGGAGATTGTCCTCAGTGAATGTCGCAAGCCAGCATCCCTTTGCAATCTCCCTGCCCGCACTGACCTGATCACCCGAAACCATGACCTTGAGGCTGACCCCAGGAGCCCACCCTACAGAGATTCCACAGCCCTCCAATTAAGGCCCTCGGAAGAAGGTACTGAAGAACAGGGCGCAGGAACTGCAGGAAGAGAAAGCCAGAAGACGTGCAAGAAGAAACGCAGCCAAAATTAGTGGCAGGAATGAGGGGCCACGTCACTAACAGCTACTAAGTCTTGAAGCCACATTTACTTTTTTTTTCTTAGAACGCTTCTAAGAACGGCTGGGACTCAAAGGACAGTGGGGAGCCTCAGAGTGGAAAGTTCTGGGCCAAGACGCTTCCTTGCACAGAAAGCTCTGGCTGCAAATGAAGCCTCCAGTCCTAGAGGGGTGCCCTGACTCCTACCACCATCCCCCGGGGTCGCTTTAAACCACCTAAACCGAAAGTGGCAGAAGTGGGCCTGAGGTTGCTGAGTTTCTTTAAACAACAGTTTTCTACCAAGGGTTGCTTCCCTTCCCCCACTGCAGCAGATGGGAGTTGTGCAAGGTCAGCGGGGGCTCTGGCCAAGGCTTTGGGAATGGTGTCTCCTGACTGGTCACCCTCCCTCTGTCGGGCGGCTGGGGCCTCGTTCAGGGCAGGCAGTGTATCCCAAGCCCTGCTGTGGCTGTGGGGCCCTTGGTGGGGAGGCCTGGGCTGCCCTTCCTGAGGGAGAGCTTGGAGAGGGACCCCAGGCGAAGGGGTGGGCCGCAGACCTTTCCCCAGCCGGCACTGGCTTCATCTCTCTCCTGATGCAGGGAATTGGAAGGCCCTCTTTCAGGGCCGCTGTGGGGCTTCTCTAGGCTGTGACCAGAGAGGCCCATCTTCATGCTGCCAACCAGGCCAGTCCCAAGACCAAGGGAGGCCCTGGGGGGCCGGAGGGGCCACCGCAGCTTCTGTCCTGGTCCTGTGCTTCGGGGTTCTTCGCAGCTGAGGGTTCTCAGATGTCAGAATCTGGTCCCTGTTGGGTCCCAGATGCTGCAGAAAGCCTTTCAGAGATTGGGGGACCCCAACAGATAGGAGCCACACTGGCCCCCTGGAACCCGGGCCCAGCATGGGGGTACGAGACATCCAGGACCCTCCGGAGGGCGGGTTAGAAACCTCTTTACAAGCATTTCAAGATACATGCGTCCTTTTTTTTTTTTTTTTCTTTTCACTATCATAGTCACTCTGGTGAATCCAAGCATAAACAGACAAATCCGACTATAACGTGACAGGGTGAGACGGGGAAGGAAAGGTGACATCTATGTATATGTTCAGCTGCTCCAGCAGGACAGACAGCATTGCCTTCAGCTGGGACGGGGGAAGAACCATTTCCAAGGGGGTGTGTTTCCCTTTTGGGCGCGTGGAGGGCTGATTATATGCACCTGGGGTTGAGGAGCGGCTGAGCTCTGAGAGGCTGGCAGTCACAAGCGGGAGGGGGGGGCGGAAGTAGGGGACAGAAGGGATGTAGTCCTGCCCTGAGAGGCCTGCCTGTCCCAGTGCCATCTCTGGCAGCCAGGACACCCCGCCTGCTGCCAGCTCAGCACAGGAAGGGGACCGGCCTTCTGGGAGAAAAAGGCCCTCCAAGTCCACATCCAGGGTCATTGCCGAGCCACCCTGTTCACATCCGTGATGGGAAGCGGGGGACAGGGAACCGCGTAAGGTAGGGTCGTCAGGTTCATCGTGAGGGACATGCCAGTTGGATGAGTGTGACTGAGACTGAGACTGCAGTCCCACCTTGTGCCCGCGCTTGGCCTTCCCTCGATTTCAGCCCTTCGTTCACAGTAGGTGCCTCCCACGTCCACACAATGTCCATTACCGAGAAGGGGTTTGGTGAGGCTGGGAACTCGGGACAGTGTGACATAATGAGGGGTACAGGCAGTGACTGGGCTCCACACAGCAGACACACAGGCGACAAGTGGCTGCAGTGGCCGTGGGAGGGACGAGAGGCTCAGGACCCGCCCCCCAGGCCCCCGCACACTCTAGAGATGCCAGGGGCCCAGGCTTGGGAACAGGCGGGTGTCCCCCAAGAGGCACAAGTCCTTACAAGAGAACTGGTTAGCCCTAAAGTCCAGATCTGTGAGGTGGCCAAAATCGTGGCTGCAGTTCCAACCGTCAGAACTCAATAAAACGGGGTTTCTGTGGGGCGGAGGGGAGCCCCTCAGCTCAGGGGACCCCCGCCCCTGTGGGCGGGGAGAACAAGGCCAGCACTCAGGACGCTGAGGTCAGTCTTCTCTGAGGAAGGAACCCACAGGGTACCACCCTCCCACCAACCTTCTCCTCCTGCCCACTGTCCCTTCAGGCTGGGAGGGACCAGAGCCCTTCTCCCAGAGGGTGACACCCTGACCCGCAGCAGACCCCGGGCCACCAAGAACAGGAGGCCACTTGGTCGAGTGTGCTGCGTTGTGGCGGCTGTTGGCCCTCCCAGCAGGGAGCAGTATCTCCTGCCCCCCACTCGCCTGCTCTCCCACACTCGCCAGCTCTCCCCCCCCCACCCCGCCTCAGCCTCTACTGTCTCTCCCCACCCCCACCCCATCCCACTCACACAAGGTTCAATGCGCCTGTGGCTCCACCAACGCACCAAGTTGCAAATCCTTCGTTGCTGCTGCTGCCTCTGTGACGCCCCCAAGATGGGGCCAGAGGAGGGGCACCCCAGTCCCTTGAAATTCCCCAGAAGCACCTTTCAGAGCCTCTCCTCCTCCCTCTTCTACTCAGAGGGGGGGGAAAAAAAAGAATCAAAAGTAATTGCCCAAGGAAATGTTGGGGGTGGCCATCTTTCCAAGTGTTTTTAAAAACATTTTATTATTCCTAGCCCACCCCATCAATTTGGAAAGACGAAATTTGCTATTATTCCCGTCACTGATTTTGAAGTCCCGAGCCAGAGCCGAGCGACAAAAGCAGGTTAAGTGATTAACCGATTAACCGACCTGTGAGGAGCAGCTGGGGGAAGGCAGAGGGTGAAGGGCCAGGTCATTATTCTTTTTTTTCCCACACTCTCTCACTCTCTTCTCTCCACGATTATCGACCGCCCCGGGGGCCTGATCACAAACCCTGCTTGGCCAGGGAGGCGGACACTTCGTCAGCTAGTGTGGCGAGCTGGGACGAGTCTACCATGTCGATGCTACCTGTGGAGGACACGTTGCTGAGGTGCCTCGGAGACGTGTCCCCAGACACCACGGGCGACTTGTACACGATCTCCGCCCCATGGTCTGTCTTGGCTTTGGCGTTCTCACGGAAGGTCAGCTTGTGGGTTTCGATCTGCAGGAGAGGAGGGGAGGGAACGTGAGAGAAACAGCACAAGCCTCGCCAACCAACCGGCCCGGAGTGGGCGGGAGCTGACGACGTGCTGGTGACCGTGGTTTTTATCATTTCCTAATAGCAAAGATTCGTGCAGGGTTCTTCCGTCACCACCTCCAAGTCGCCCCGTTCCTCTCCCCAGAGGCAGCGAGCATTGTAAGCTCCTTGTGTACCCTTACAGAGACGTGCCACACACACAAAGGTGTATGTGTGAATATATAAAAACATACACACACGGTAACAACGTCCGCATGCTTTGTCCTCAGGTTTTTAGACTTAATACCTTCCATTATCTGTACCTAGTTTCCTCAAGCTTGTTGATGGCTGCATGGTATTCCACCACAGCGGATGTACGAAACTTTATCAGCTCTCCTAAGGATGGATACTTAGGCTGTTCCAGTCTTTGCTATCACAGACAACGCTGGGTATGAATAACCTCGAGTAACTCTGTACGCACATCATTTCACACACGTGTAAGAGCATCCTAGAAGTAGAATCGCTAGTAGGTCAAGAGCCATGCACATTTTCTTTTGACAAATACTGCCCAGCTGTAAATGGAAGTGTGGAAGGAGAAGCTAGAGATTAAGGGACGTCCCCAGAGCCACGGCTGCCCAGCCATGAGCCACACACGTTCCTCCCTTTGCCAGCGACTGACGCGAGTTTGGAGGTGGCAGCAGCAGCGGGCAGCACGGGTAGGTGTGCTACAAAACATGGTGCGAAGAGGCCCTTTCTACAGGAGAGAAATCGTGACACAGCCAGGAGCCCCAGGGATACCTGGTCCTGCAAAGGATACCTGGGAAACGCAGGAAGCATTGGCCAGTGATGCAAATAGTACAAAGTAATTCCTTCCTGGGGAACCCTGAAGTGGTGGACACAGTAACCTTGGCGGGGTCCTAAGCCCTCTTTCGAGAACGATGTATGCACGTGCGTGCTTGCACTCACATACACTTCACCGTGTTCCCACACAGTTTTAGGAGTCCATGGAGCCCAGGTAGAGCCGCTACTGCTGCAGGCTGACACGTGGGTGCAGAGAAAAAACGGGCTCCGTTTATGCTACTTATTTTGTTCATTTTAGGTCACTGCTTTGACAGAAGCACCTTCCATGTTACTGTATTCGAAAGGCCTTTTATTTGAAAGGCCTTTTGACGGAAGCTTTGATAAGGATATTTACGTGAATGCTTTTTTTAAAGATTTGTTCTTAAGAAAAAAGTGACAGGGTCCTGGGAATGTCCCAGAATCCCCCAAACTGAAAGGAACTCAGGCAGCGGGGGTCCTGTGCGCCACTGCTTGTTAGCAATTCTGCTCATTACAGGAGAAACTGGGAGGCTTGGGAAAGGGAGCATCCTCTGGGACCAGGACTATGTCTTCTGAGTGGAGAGCAGGGCAGGGCCCACCCTCTGAGCCATCGCAGAGATGAAACAGAAGTTCCAACTCGGACTTGACTCTAACTTGTATTCCTAGCCGGCCACAAAGGACCAGGAACCTTCTGTAACACCCTCTTGTTTGGGTGTCACAACTGCCCTGAGATGTGGAGGTTTCTATCCATTTTGCTGAAGGAGAAAGAGGCTGAAAATGTTTACTGATCTTGCCCAGGTCACACCTCCAAGCAGAGTCAAGCCCAGAGCTTTTCTTAGGACATAGAAGCTTCCAGAGATCGAGGCAGAGACCTTCCCTCACCAAGGCCCAGGCCCTGCCCGGATTCATTCAAGCGGACTCTCTGGGTATCTTTACAGCTCCCGGGCAGGGCGGCCGCGCCTGGGACCCGGGCGCCGTGGGTGAGGGCGGCTGGCGGAGCAGCTGGACCCCTGCGGCATCTTCACCTCCAGGACAACTGGGTGCTGCCCCCCTTCCCTGGAGGCACGCTGCCTCCTGGAGCCTGTCACCGGGGCCCCAGCATGGAGATGTATTCCTGCACCTCTGGAAGCCAAGGATGCAAAGCACGATGGGAAACAGCCACTTGAGATCCACCTTGGGGTCAGGGAGGCCAGAGGAGTGCTACGGAAGGTGCTGCCCTCCCCTCGGCCTTTCGGGGGGCCCTGTCTGCTGGTCAGGTCTGTCCCTGGGGCTCAGTATGCCACCTCTGCTTTAAGACCATCCCAGCAAGTGCTTCTCCAGAGCGACGCTGTGGGTCGGGCTTTCACCCAAACGCAGGATGGGGTGTATCTGTTCAGAATCCCAGGCAGAGGTGCTGAGCGGGCCTGCCTGCCGGGGGAGCAGAGGAGGCCTGGTGATTTGCCACAGGGACTCCCGGCTGCCACCAAATGTGGTGTGATGGACAGATGGCCCTCTGCCACTTCCAGCCAGCGCCCTGTCTCACCCCAGACTGGGTCTCAGATTCTGTCACCGTCCTGGGACATTCGTCCTCCCTCCGCCACTTCTCAGTCAGCTGCTGAGAGACGCTCAACGCTGGAAAGCGAGCCACTTCAGAACTTCAGGGCGGACGTGGCTGGGAAACCCCAGAGGACGTTTGGGCTGCATTTATGCAGACGAGAAAAGTACAGCCACAAGACCACATCCTGTGATGGGCCCAGAGGGAGCTTGCTCAGGGTCACACACACTCTGGTGGCCCCCGGCCCCCAAGCTCACACAGATACGCACAGCAAGACCCAGAGACTCTAGAAACTGCTGGGAATGCCGAGGTCCTTGGCCCGGCAGCCTCCGTGGACACTTCTCTGACAGGCAGGTGGAAGATTTGCTGAAATCTGGATTTCGACATCATTGTTTTGCTCTAACTGCCTAGTGACCCACTTAGAAAATCAGGTCATGTTCCCATGCCTTGTTCTCGAGGATGGCTATTCCCTTTTGTGGGTGCTTGCCAACCACGGGGCCTCGGGCGGCGGCTCTCACCTTTGACTGCACCCAAGAATCACCTGGGGGCTTTACAAACTCCAGGTGCCCAGACTGCACCTGAAATCAATGAAGTCAGATTCTCCGGGGTGTGGCCCAGGCACCAAATTGGTGACAGCTCCCTGGCACTGCAACAGGCCGCTGAGGTCGAGCCCCACAGCGCTGGTGGCTGCCGAGTGACATCAGGACAGTCACTACAGAATCCTCCACTTTCCGCCTCCAGAAAACTGGCCCAGCCTTGCCCACCCGATTCGAGTAACAGCTGCCCCCACGGGCAGCCCCCTCTCTGCCCTGCCCCCTTTACCTTTTTGTTCCCTCCGCCAGGGACGTGGGTGATATTGTCCAGGGATCCGATCTTCGACTGGACTCTGTCCTTGAAGTCCAGCTTCTCAGACTTCACTTCCACCTGGCCACCTCCTAGAACGCAAGGCACACAGGCCCCCGCCTGGGGTGAGGGCTCCGACGGGACTCCTAGCAGACGTCCACCTTGAGGAGTAGGTCAGACCAGGCCCTCCTCTACTTAGAATGGGGTGTGGGCACCGGCCAGTCCCTCCAAAGGGCCAGGCGACAGTTTGCTTCGTTTCTCAAATCAAGGTGTGCATCAAATATTTACCCGAAAACCCCCCTTAGCTCATGCAAAGGTAAATGGCAGCTCGGTCCCGGAGAAATTATTCTACAACCTAAATTGGTTGGCTTCCAACAAGTGAGGTCTTTTTATGTCAAGATCCTGTAGCGACAACCCTATGAGGCCTCGGAATTAAACCAAAGGGCAAAATGCACCCTAACTAAGGAAGGGCGCTGACCCTTCTCCGGCCTGGCCTCGATGCCCCGGCCAAGCGTGGGAGGCGTGGCCTGAGGAAGGGGGGAGCTACAGCTGAGCCTTGAACAGCATGGCTTTGAACTGCGCGAGTCTTCTTACACATGGCTGTTTTTTTCAATAAATACTGTGTTTATTCCTTATGATTTCCTTAATAACATTTTCTTTTCTCTAGTTCACTTTATTGTAAGAATACAGTAGATAGTACATGTACAAAATATGTGTTAATCGACTGTTTACATTATTGGTAAGGTTTCCGGTAAACAGTAGGTGATTAGTAGTTATGTTTTGGGGGAGTCAAAAGTTCTATGTGGATTTTTGGCTGGGGGGGGGGCGCGTGTCCCTAACCCCCAAGTTGTTCAAGGGTCCACTGTACATTACTTTCTGGGGAAGGATAAAGCCACCCGAGAAAGCTGCTCACAGGGTGGCAGGATGGTGACACCAGCTGAGGGACAGGTCTTCCTGGGAGAGACTAATGTCCCAGGGAGCCAGACAGTAACAGGACACATTCCGGGGATGCTTCTGAGGCCCTTTCCTTCCCACCCCACAGGCCCAGCACAGATCTGCCCTGGGGGCCTGGCTGGGCTGGAAACTCCTGCTCTGGGCCCCCAGGCAGGAGCTGGAACCTAGACCTGTGCTGTCCAGTACGGTCCCGGACATTTTCATTGAATTAGTTCAGCTCCTTGGCAGCACGCGCCACATTTTAGGTGCTCAACAGCCATGTGTGGTCAGTGGCGCCCATACTGACCTCACAGGGGTCAGACACATCCATCGTCACAGAAGGCTGAAGGCCCTGATGGCTACACGGTGGGGGAGGGGAAGGGACGCAGGGCAGGGCGCCAAGAGTCTTTTCTGTCAAAGTCACAGCAGGGGTATGGCAGTGGCATAGGGGTCCCGTGTTGTAGCTGATGCAACTGGTTAAATGTTCCCCCATGTTGGCTGGGGACCAAGATGGGACATCCACACAGCCAGCCTTCAGGGGCCAGATGGGGCCCTTCCCGGGCTCCCCATGTGCAGCCTGCTTGGAGAGCCGCAGGTGAGGGTTTAGGACCAGCCACACCTCCCAGGCCGCAGCAAGCTCCACCCTCAACACGCTCCTTGATGGTGCGTCCCATCCCCCCTTCGCAGCCCCTCAGGAGCAGGCACCCCCAGGCCTCCCGACACACCCCCCCCCGCCCCCCGCCAGCCTCGAGGGCTACCTGGTTTATGATGGATGTTGCCTAGCGAGCCACACTTGGAGGTCACCTTGCTCAGGTCCACTGGTTTGTAGACTATTTGCACCTGGAGGTGAGAGAGAGAGAGAGGTGGGGGATGGACAAAGATAAAACAGGATTATTTTATTATGGGCGTAACACAATGAAAAGCAGCTGTGTGAGCCCAGGCCCCGCTCGGACACTGTTTCCTGTCTGCCACGAGGCACACCCCTAGTCATGGTGGAAAAATGTGTTGGAATTCTGCCAACCCTGCCCCAAGGGAGCTGGGTCTCCATGAAATAGCTGTGGGACTGCAGTGCCTTCCATCCCACAGGACAAAGACCCTCAGGGCAAACAGGAAACTTTGTTGTCCAGAGTCCACGCCATTTGTTTAGCAAACATGTGAAAAAGGCACTCTGGTTCCCTGACATGAAATTGACAGGTCACATTCAGCAAGGACAGAGAAAGAAGCGATCGATAGGATCCATTTGCGCAGCACTCGGAAACTCTTGTTGGAAAAGCGAGAGCCATTTCTGTAGGGCCTTAAAGAGGAGAGGGCAGTGTGGGGTGGAGAAGTGGCTTTCTCTCAGGAAAAGCTTCCAGAAACCCCAGCACCGCCACAGCGAGAGCAGTGATGGTCAGCGAGCAGTGTGGCACCTCGGAGGTAAGAGGCAGTTGGCACCTGAGTGTCCTGGCCATTTCTTTACCGAAAGGAGCAAAGCGACACCCACAGGAGGGCAGGCGGCTCGGCAAACCCCACGAGGTTAGTGTCTCAGCGAGCAGACCCAGACACACACACACACATACAGGGGAGACCTCGGGCTTCGGGGCTCAGGCTGGGTCCACCCTGAGGGACCCAGGCCACACTGCCCACCCTCCCGAGGGGAATGACGGCCCTGTGCCACCCACTGACCTCAGCACAAGAACCAACTTCCCGGAGGGGGCACCCCCCGCAGGACTCCCCATCAGCAGATGGGTCTCCCGGAGGAAGCCTTCAAAGCCATGTCAGGGCATCCCCAGGTGGGCACGGAGGGACACTTCCCAGCAGTCACCTGGGATGAGGTCACCTGAGGGTGCAGGAGGCCAATGACCAGCTGGCCTCTGCTCCCTGCCCTGGAGTTACCCAGGAGAGAGATGGCCTCATCTGAGAATGGCTTTAACGAGGACACCAGAAAAAAAAGGAGAGGTTTCTACTCAGGTCTAAATCATCTGGAACAATCCCAAATTATTTCAGTTAATCCGAATTATGTTAGCATGTGCTGTTAATTGATGGAGAGTTGGCTGAGGCCTACAGGTGGACATGCACTGTGTGTGCCAGCGGGAGGGAGGGTGAGGAACACACACATGTGGCAGCCTGCACCCACAGGGTGGGTGGGAGTGGGTGAGGAACAAACAATTCTGAGGCATCTTCTGGGACCGGATATGGGAGAAGGCATGTGCTCTGGGGCGGGCACTGATGGGGCAAGGGACTCTGGGAACTCGTCCCTGCAGGAGGGAGATGGAAGTAAATGGTGTGACCAAGGCTGCCTGGATGAGGTAGCTCGTGTGTGTGTGTGTGTGTGTGTGTGTGTGTGTGTGTGTGTGTGTGTGTGTGTGTTGTTGGGGGGAGGGGTTGTGGAGAAGGCAGAACCTGGAATGACAAAGAGGGGGATGGAATGGGTGAGGGTGGGAGCCAAGGCAGGAGAGTGAGGGAGTAGGGGAACTGCAGGACAGGGGAGGCGGGAGGCCAGGCCCTGGGGGGAGCCCGGAGCCAGCAGGGAGGCAGGGAGGGTCCGACGAATGGAGAGGGGGCAAGTCCTGCGGGCTGGGAAGTCACCTGCAGTCTGGAGAAGGGAGGGCAAGCCAGAGGCCGGAGCCCAGTCCAGAGGTCCAGTGCCCCCAAACGCCCAAGGCTACCCCTGTGCAGGGGCTTGGGACCCCCCAGCCACCTTTCACCAAGAAAGCTTTGTGCAACGGCTCCTACTGCAAACAAGCTGCGGCCACGGGCCAACGACATTGCTCTGGGCCAGCCCTGGATAGGTAGCCTGTGGCTCCTTGCCAGGTCACAGGCTAGCCCACAGGCTGGCAGTGAGTGCAGGACAAACAGGAGATGCCCCAGGAAGTCCCTTGATGTCCTGTAACTGCCATCAGCAGTGGGAATGTACTCTCTCTTCCCAGCTAGTCCTGAGGCCTCGGCCTCGCCAGCAAAACCTCCCACCAGCCGACAAGACACACGCGTTAAACTGGAAACCGCATACCTTTCTACTCTGGTCAGAGCCTAGTCTGCAGTGAAGCCAGAAAACCAGGAGTCAACGCTAAAACAGTAACCTGGCGTGCGGTGGGGTGGCCCCCACACCTTCTCTCCCCTTCTCTCAGCAAAAGAGAAGCTGGCAGTCAGTGGACAGGAGAGCAGGGAGTGGGGGACAGAGGCGACACAGCAGACACTGGTGAGGAAGCGTTAATAAAGCGCCATGCAGCAGCCAGGTGGTGAATGCCCGGTCCCCAGGCTCAGGGGCTCCGGGCAGGAGGCAGCAGCACATTGCAAGAATAAACCCTCGGGCTGGACGCAGATGATGTGCGGCCCAGGCCGGGCATTTTCTGGAGAGAGAACCTCCTGGGGGCTACCACCACCACCCTGGGCTGCTAGCCAGGAGCGAGATGCCTGCCCTCAGAAACCACCCCTCCCCAGGGGGGACCTCAAGGGGTCTTGAAGCTCCTGCTCCCAGTGTGTTGGGCTGGCACAGTGAGGAGGGGGCTGCAGAGAAGGGGAGCCTCGGGATGATGAGTTTGCACCCACTGTGGTGAGCATGGGACAGCTGGGTGGATGACAGCAGAGCTGATCAGCCCGGGAGGTGGGAAGGGAGGACGCCAGCCCCAATATCAGGGCCACATGCACTGGGATGCAGGGAGTCCCCAGGGACAGTAGGGGAGAAGCCAAATTTAAAAGGCCTAAAGCAGCATCTTGCTGTGAACCCTTGGCTGCAGGCAGGTCCCCTGGTGCACTTCTGGGTGCGCTCTCCTGCCTCTGAGTCTCTGCCAGGGGGTGGAGCTGGTTTTCAGCATAAGTGGAAAGGCTTAGGAATCGACTTGCCCCTTGAAAATGCAGAAGACAAACGTGAGCAGAGACTGGACTTTTCTTGCTCTGAAGTAGGACAGTAAGACCTGTGTGTCTGCTCGTCAAGAGCAAACAGGCCAGCTGTCTACAGTGGAGCCACTCAAAGTGACCCTGGCCAGGCGATGGGGAAAGAGGTGACAGAGCCACCTCTCAGGTGCCACCACCTTCAGCCCAACCTCACATGGGCTGTGGGGACACGGGGCGCCCATCCTGGGCTGAGTGGACCCCGCCCCCAGGTACAGGATCAGTCATCTTCCCTACACAGCCCTTGCCGGCCAGGGACCCCTAGGGTGCAGGTCACCCCTCCTAGGACAGTGGGCCTAGTGTGGAGGCCTGGGCTACACTTCCTTGGGGACACAGACAGACCCTGAGCCTGAGAACAGTTTATTCTATGCAATGTCTCGCAAGGATACAGACTGATGCCACTTCTTAAAAAGCAGAGCCGCAGAACGGAGCAGGGGACCTGTGAAGGTACTCACACTGCCGCCTCCTGGCACGTGTCTGATATTATCCTTTGAGCCACACTTGGACTGGACGTTGCTAAGATCCAGCTTCTTATTAATTATCTGCACCTTTGACAGCCAGAGAAAAGGATGAGTGACACACCACACCCAGGTCCGCGGACTTCCCGGCATGGAGAGAGGAGGCCCCAGGCTGAGGGCGCGAGGGCGGCGTCACACTGCCCCAGGGAGCTCCCCAGGAAGGCATTCCAGAGCTGTGGGTGATCTGAGGCAGACCCCACCTTACCACACGGGGTTTACAAGGCAGATTCATCAAGAGGCAGTTCTTCACTTTACAAAAGACTTGCGTCAGAGGGTGTCCTGAGGCCCCACCTCTGAGGCCCACACACCAGAGCTGAGGCCCCAGGTTGGGACGGAGGAAAATGGGCTCAATGATGTTGTTAAATGAACACACAGAAGTCCCACCTCTGTCCTCCCCCACAGGCCTCCAGGGTCCTCAGCACCTCCACAGAGACCTTTCTGTGACTGTTCTCAAGCCGGTCTGTCAGCCCTGGAATCACCTGCAGGCATTTTTTTAAAAAATCCCAGACCCCACCCCTGACCTAGAATTAGAATCGTGCTGCTCTCTGCGCTTTGGGAAACTCCCCAGTGCTTCGATGGGCTGCGTTGCTAGGTGGGAGGGTCACTGACGTTCTGGGGGGGGGGGGACACGGGCCTTTGTGGAGCAGACAACCCAGAGCCCCTCCGTGTGAGGGCTTTGTCTCACGGAAGGCAGGGCCCTCCCAGCCCTCTGCTCCCCTGTGCACAGTCCCGCCAGGTGCTTAGAGGGAACTGGGCAAACGGTGCCAGGTGGTCTCCCCTCAGCTTCCCTGGGCACGTGCAGCCCCGATGGCAGCGACCCCACTGTAGTTCTGGGAGGCTCCGCTTTCTCCAGGCGCCAGCGAGAAGGTGGGGGGGTATCAACGTCCGAGTGGGGAATGATTTTGACCCAATTTGTCTAAAAACTACAAAGTACACAGAAAACCACGGCACAGAGAAAGATAGTTGAAAAACTCTTCATTTTGTCTGCTAGGGCAGTGTTTCTCCCTCAGGAACTCCGTGTCTGGAAACAGTGTGCCTTAGTTTCTATTAATCACAGATAGAAATAACTGCCAGCTGCAGTGCCCAGTTGAGAGCCGGCCTTGCTCTCTGAACCGGGAAGTGGCACCAAGGCCTCAGCTGCTGCTTTTGTGAACGACAGGTGCGGGCCCCGCTGCCCCAGAGGCCCAGGGTCTGTCAGGATGGCTGTGACTCGGGGTCGCAGCCCTGACCTGGCTCATCTAAGAAGAAGGGTCCCAAACTCTGACCCCAGGGCTAGAGCTGGCCCTCAAGGGGTCCACAGGTCCTCAGCAAAACGAAGAAATGAGGACATGATAGCAAAATTGGCTCATCCTGCTTTTTTGGTGTTAAAATGGCCTTTCCTTTATTAAATTATTAATTATTAAATCACATTAATAATAGATGATACTTATTATTTTTAGATGTCCTTAATCTGGAAAAAATGAAAAGCCATCTTCTCTTGGACCTCATCCCCAGCTTTTTTTCCTTAAGTTTACTGGTCTAAACCTAAAAACCTGGGCAGGACGGATCTAATCCACGTCTTTTTTTTTTTCTTTTATGTTCCCTTAAAATAAAAAACTATGTATCTTTTTTCCATAAGAAAAGTAATATAACATTATAATTTTTAAAAACAGAGGTTAAAAAAAGCAAAACCAAAACAAATTTCTTGCCACCCAAACACAACCACTACTGCCTTTCACTGTATTCCCTTGAAGTCTCATATACATAAAAATAAACTCCCATCACAGGCACAGAAATGGTAGTAATTATTGTGTCCACACAATTTTACATTTTGCCTTATCGAGTAACATCATGCTCTAGGCATTCGCCCTGTTCTGCAGTCATTATTTTTAAATAACATGTCATATGCCATTTTGTGGTAGCTGTGCTATCAGATATCACATATTGATTCCATTTTAAATAATAACAGCCTCACCCTGAACATCTTTCCGCAAGAAGTTTTTTTCCATATTATGGATTATTTTTCATAGCGTAGAGCCACAGAGGTAGAATTTCTGGGTCAAAGTTATAAGTATTCTAAAAAACACTCAACACAACTCTGCAAATGACTTTCTAAGGGGGCTGGATGAACTCGCCCTGTGAGCGCTGTTCAGAAAGTCCGTTTCGCCATATTGCTGCCAATACTAAACACTTAAAAAATTGTTTTGCTTATTTCTTTGACTAAAATAAATGGGACTGCATTGCTGGCTTATTCTGCATTTCTCCGGTTATTACTAAAGTTACTCCTTTGCCACCTTTTGGCTGGTAGGTTCTTCCTAACATATAAATGTTTACATTTTTATATACTCAAATTCTCTCTTTGGAATTTCTCCTTTGTTTTTTCTCAGTGTAAAAACCACCCTCTTTTAGAGGTTGGATAACCATCTAATTCCACATCACCATTCTCACCTGCCACCCCCTTAGCTGGCTGATGAGGTCGACTGGAGGCCCAGGGAGATTCAGTGACTCAGTGGCAGAGCCCACACAGGGATCTAGGTGTGGGTGTTTCTGTGGCCACAGGCTACGTATGTGACAACAAAGCTTTGCCTGAGCTGTCCTCAAGGCTGTTGTCTCATAAAGCAAATAAAAACAACACTCTCCCTTGGGGAACACTGAAGGTCTCTCCTACCAGCAAGGGGACACCATGGCAGTGCCTCAGCCCAGACTTGAGCTGGGAACAGGCGGACAAATGGGCTTTCTCACACTGCTTCTTAAGGAATTGCTGTCACCCTCTGTTTAATGTCTTTGAATCGATTTGTGCCACCCTCAGATTTTAAGGAGTCCCACATGAATTCCTTCTTTGGTGATAATTTTTTAGTCATAATTTTCCACTGGGTAAGCCCAGACGCCAACGTGCCTGCTTTCACAAAGAGCAGTTTAGAATTAGAAAACATAGGCACACATGCACGCGCGTACACACACACACACACACACACACTAAGACAGGAAAATTTTAAAGGGTAATGGTAAAAGAATGGGAGGTCATCCGCACTGACAATTACATGACTGATCGTTAAATGTAATGATCTGAATTTTCTGTATTAATCTGTACAAGAAATTCATCAAACGAATCAAAAGACATTAAGCAATAACAAGATCTGCAACATACATAGAAATGTGTTTTTTCCATGTGGCTTTTTCTTATTTCAATCCCACTAAAAAGGCAACAAGCTTCTGTGGGATCTGGCAGTAGGACAGACACAAGGATATTTACAGAGCAGACCTGAATTACCGGTAGTGGTCAAATTAAGCCAACACCCATTACAGAATATTAGATTTACAGAAAGGAGGAAAAGCCGAATGGTCGGCGTTATGAAATTGGAATCTTGAAACTGAATTACTCATCTCCAGGAACATGTATGATGCTGAGCCTTAGCTCTGGACGTTGAACACACCCGTCATAGGAGAGAAGAACATTTTGGAAGCTCCAAGTTTTGATCTGGGGACGCCTACTCAGGGGAGAAATTCCTGCGGTCAGGGTTTGGCCTTGAAGGAGACCGTAGAGTGGGGTGAGATGGGTCCACTTTGGTTTAATCCATTTCCTGGAGGATCCAAAGCAGTCTCAAACCCTCATTAGGTCTTGCCTTGACCTGGTTCTGTTTGGGCTCATATCTCTCAAGGGGCTCCAGACGGCCCAGCCCTCCCCCCAGGAGCTCCCAGCTGGCCCGGGGTCCGTGGGCTGTCCCTGGCAAGGTCTGTCTACAAGAATGCCCAGCTTTACCTCACTAGGGTCAAGAAGCCCCGTGCTGAGGACTGGGAGCTGGGATGCTCTGCTAGGACAGTCCAAGGTGGTCAGCCTGAGAACTGACACAGGAAAAGTTATCTATTGTAGGTCCTGTTAAGTAAACCAGACACAGAAGGGGTTAAAAAACAAACCGAACCAAACCAGGGGAGTCACCTGTGGAATTATTTACGTTGTTCCTTTAAACACTGGCTGCCCCAAGCCTCTTTACAATGATTTGATTCACACAAGATTTTTCAGAAACACAGGTGCTCGGTATATGGAGAGATGCCCAGAGGGTCTTAAACTTACAGGGCTGTCCCAGAGGAGGGTCCCAGCCTGGCTCGGCCCTCCACTCACCCCCGCAGGGCCTGACACCTCAGCCTACGTTCACCTCAGTCCAGGATAGGCCAACTATCCCAGGTACAAATTCACTTTATTTACCCCACATAAAATGTTCTTCACGTGAGCTTTTTAAAATGAGAACTGGGACTTCGTCAATAAATATAATGAATTTACAAACACTTTAGGTCTCGCGAAGACAGACGCTTAGTGTTCTATCGCCATCTTGTGGCCATATCGAATATTGCAGCCCAAGGCTTTCAAAGCCCAGCAGCTCTGGTAGGTTTCTGTCCTTCCTGGGCCTCTAGGTCCTGTTCAGCCTGGGGTCTTCGCACCCCCTGGCCCTGAGGATGGCCAGGGGAAGTAACTTTAGCTCCATCTGCTCAGAGCCAACCAGACCACCCCGACGTCGGGTTCTGGCCATTCCCCTGCACACATTCTCCCCCTTGGCAGCCACAGGGATCCCCAGTTCTCCTGCCCAGGCAGCTGTGACCCCAAGTGCACTCCCTCTGTCTCTGACCCTGAATGGCACCAGGGCCCCAATGCTTCCCTCTCTGCTCTCCACTGACCATACGGAGGGGCTGTTGAGGCTGGTGCTGCCTGAACCTCATCTGACCCTCAGCTGCCCTCTTCTTCAACTCAGGGTAGCCAGGGGAGTGCGGCCTCCCATGACCCCTGAAAGTGAGACCAAGGCTCTCTGCTGGTGGTGCCTTCCAACGCCCCCTTTCTTCTCCATCTTTGCCGGAGGACAACATCCTGTCCTGTCGGGGGAAATGCCCAGCTGGTTCACAGCGACCCAGCAGGACCTCCCTCTATCAGTTGCTAATTCTTACCTCTCATATAAATGAACAAAGCTCCGGCCTAAACCCGCACTCCCCTGGCTACCCCAGTTCTCGCTTTATTTTGCTTTTGCTCTGAAAATCTCTCGGGTGCACGTTCCCACTGTCCTCTTCTGTATATGGGGCTCTGTGCAAGGCCACAGGGACACAAACATAATTTTGTTTTGCACTCTTCAAACCACGCACATTCAAACTGTAGCAAATCGTGAAAACAGAGAAAGGTACAAAGCATAAAACTGATGGTTTATAGCACATTTCTTTCCACCAATGATTTATTGGCCGGCTGTGGCTTTCAGTCTGCAGGTTAACAAGCAAGAACCACCTCCTGTTCTTCCTTCTTCCGGGAGCTGAGTTATTCCTCAGTCAGAGAACAGCTCCTTCTGTAGCCGAACAAACATTGATTGAGCGCTTACTGTATGTGGGTGCTGCGTGAGGCCACAGGAACCCAAAGATGTCAGTGTCACCTCGTGGAACCGTCAGCCCAGTCCAGGCAGAGGTGGCACGAGGCGCTTTGACAGGTCATTTAAAAGGTCTTCTCTGTGGATCCCAAGTATCTTCTTTTTTCTTTGTCTTTTCAATTTTCCGGTAGATTGATATGTTGATCTTTGTCGTTATGCCTGAGGTTTTCTTTGGCTCAGACAATTTTCTAGGTCTTCCATGGAATTTAAGGGGAGACTCCTATCTCGGCCACCTTCCTATGCCTCCTCCCCAGTAAGTCCCAAGAAAAGTCACCTTTTCTCCTTGAACCCTTCAGTATATGAGGGCATATGTCTGCGCCCAGCACAGTGAGGTGGTGACCTGGGCACCTTCCCCCATTCCCACTCTGAGAATCAAGTCACTGGACTGTTCTCCCGGCACAGCCAGGGGAAGGGCAGCCCTGGGTGGGAGGGTGGGTTCCAGCTGTGAACGGAGCCTTCAGTGGGAGTCCCTGCCGCCTCCTCCCCCAGCCCTGTCACTGCTGCTCTCAGCAGAGGTGCAAGAACTGGGCCAAATGGTGCCCAGGCCTTCCAAGCCAACCTCAGATGAACTCTGGGCTGGCGGGAGGACACTGGGAGTTTGCTGGTGTGTGACAGAGCCCCACAGGCTGGCAGTCGCCGATGGCTAGTTTCCCTCTAATGCGTTGTGGGTACGCTGGTCACAATCATCTCAATGGTGCAGAACTGGCTGTGTGGGTTTTGTTTTTCATTTTTCAAAACGAGGAAGAACGAGGGTCACGCTGCCATGAAAACAGGGCACATGCCCCCCCCCAGCACTGAGGGAGGGGTGCCAACGCCCGTGGGAAACACCCCATCACCTTGGAAGCTGGCTCTCTGGGGGGGCCCTCTGCCACCAGACTTCACAAAAGGGTCCCCCTCAAATCAACACCCCACGCAGCGGCCTCCGAGCCCCTTCTGGAAGGAGCCAGGCATCTTTACCAAGAGGAACGCAGGCCAACACTTGTCCAGGTCTCCCAGGGGGCCAGGGACCAGTGGCACTGAGGCCCCAGGCTCCACCCTGAGAGGCACCTGGACCCCTCCCTGGGCAGGACCAAGCAGATAGCCCTGAGCCTCCACAGGGAGCCAAGTGCAGGGTTTCGGGTCAGTACACACATGGACCCAAAGCCCTCTGAGGTGTCCTCCCTCCAGGGAGCCCCAGGCCCCCGGCCAAGAATGACAAACAAAATCAACAGTGTGGAGGGTGCATGCTGGGGCAGGGGTGGGGTGGGGTTGAGTTGTCCCGAATGAAAGGGAAACATTGGCTCAGGGTTCTGTAAAGCTCCCCAGCCCACCAGGGGGCTCAATGCCCCCAAAATGGCCCAGCCAGGAAGGCCCAACACATCTGTGGTCTTAAGAGTGGAGTCCTGTCCTTGGCACACCACACACGTTTCCTCTTCTCCCTTCTCCATTCCCCTGTGGTGCTGGGTGAGGAAGGCTGCGATGGGCTGCATTGTGTCCCCCAAAATTTGTATGCTGAAGTCCTTGTTCCCAGTACTTCAGAATAGGGCTGTATTTGGAGATACGGTCTTTAGAGAGGTCACTCTGTTAAAATGAGCTCATCAGGGTGGGCCCTCATCCAATATGACTGGTGTCCTTATAAGAAGGGGAGATGGGGACATAGACACCCAGAGGAAAAACCGTGTGAGAACACAGGAGAAGGCGGCCATCTACATGTCAAGGAGAGAGGCCTTAGAAGAAACCAACCCTTCAATGCCTTGACCTTGGACTTCTGGCCTCCAGAACAGTGAGGAAATACATTTCTGTTGTATCAGCCTAGGTATTTTGTATGTTAGTTCTAGGAAACTCATACAACGGGGCGCAGGGACATGAAAGAGGAGGAAAAGGCCCAGGCCAGCCCCATCTTCCCACACCCTCAATCCCTCAGAAACTTATGTCTCTCCACATTTAGGACACCCCAACATTTCATGAGCTCCCGCTTGCCCCTGGAAGAATCAGTTGTTTAAAATGGAACCCCTAATTTCCCCAGAACTTCAGGTTAGAGAGAACCCTAACCTAAACAAATGTCCGATGAATGCCAAAGACACCCACCTACGATTGCTGTGTCATGTCCTAAACACGAGGCAGGCTGGGGGGCCTCTGTGGACACCCCCACTTTGAGAACCCCCAAGTCACAGAGCAACAACCCTGTAATCTCTGACACTGTCTGATCATCAGGGGCTGAAATGGGGGAACAAAGAACCGGTGTTTGCTCTCCCCTGAGCAGGGCACTCATGGCTTTGTGGGGACCCTAATAAAGACCCACGCCCCAGCCGTCTTTTCTTGATGAGGTCGAGAGGGAACTGGGCGCCACGTGAGGGGTGGGAGCCAAGTCACTCGCGCACCTCTGCCCCAGGTGTGGGAGACCTACACACCTTCTCCCGGTGTTCTGAGGCCGGCATACACCCACGGCCAGCCTCCACGCGCCCTTACCTTCCCGCCTCCTGGCTGGTGCTTCAGGTTTTCGGTGGAGCCAATCTTGGACCTGACGTTTTTCAGGTCAGGCATGGGCACGGGGGCAGTCTGCAGGCGGCTCTTGGCTGAAGACGGCGATTTGGGTGGAGTGCGGACCACCGCCACCTTCTTGGGCTCCCGGGTGGGTGGGGTGGGCAGGGACGGGGTGCGGGAACGACTGCCAGGAGTGCCCGGAGAGCCGGGGCTGCTGTAGCCACTGCGATCCCCAGATTTCCCAGGTTCACCTGGAAAGGAAGGAGAGCGTGAGGCCGGGACGCGGGGTGGGTGGGAGCTGGCGAAGGCCATTCTCAGGCTCAGGGCTGGATGAGGCATGGGGACAGACTGGAAGGCACAGCAGCAGGAGGCCGCCCCTGAGCCCGTACCAGGGAAACGGCTCCTCTTCCTGGCTTTATCACTTAGGGACAGAGACACCCCATTCCTAGGGAAGCAACAGCATGGTCACCAATGGCCATCCAAAGCCCCTTCCCAGAAAGGAGACCAACTCTGCCCATGGCCCTGGGGTCAAGAGACGGGCTCCAGCCAGCTGTGAGGGCTCAGACAAGTCATGACCCCTCTCTGAGCTCAGGGTCCTCAACTTGAAAATTGAAATAATTGTACCACCGGTAGTGGGAGGCCAGGCCGGGATGTGTGCGCACAATTTGTGACGACACTCCACTGCAATCCCAGGTGGCCTTTTCCCTGAATAAGGGCCGTGCGAGGACAGGATTCAGGAGCTGCCCTCATCCGGATCCACAGGGTACATTTTCAGCAGATCAGCAAGTTCAAGGCCCCCGTCCCACCAGACCCTTACCCACCCTCCCCGACTCCTCTGCGGTGCCTGGGCTCCAGGACGGAATGCCTGCTTTGTGTCCACCTGTTCCTCGCTCCCCAAACAAGCCATGCTCGTGCCACTGTGCCCTGCCCCTCCGTTCCCTCCCCAAGAATGCCCTTCCCCCCACCAGGGCACCTTTCTAGACACGATGTGGGTGCCAAACCCTGCAGGGGGGCCGGGGGATGGCTCCTCTCCCAACAGGCTGGACCGCGCTCCCGACATGCCTCTATTCCTGCACCGCCTACGGGGGCCCCGTTACACTGCGTAGCTACTATTCTATCTGCTTTGTGCATGGTATTTCTCCAAGCGTAGCCCAGGGACGCCTGCATCACAGTCCCTGGAGCCTTGAGGGGGCAGTGGGACCCGTAAATGCAGATTCCTGGGCCCCGTCCAGACCTGAGACGACAGGCTCTCTAGGGGTGGGACCTGGTTCTGCCCAAGCTCCCTGGGGATCCCTGAGTAGACCCGAGACAGTCACTGAGCTGGATGCCGCTGTGCCCAGGGGGACGAGGCTGAGCTCCCCTCAGCTCTGAGGGCGACTTGTCAAGAGGAGAAGAAGCACGGCTGTTCTCAGAGTTTGAATTTCCATGTCTGCTGATATCCCTAAAGTCGTCCAGCTCTGTGGCAACAGGACCAATGAGGCCTTTTCTCCTTTCCCACACAAGGAGACAACAGCGGGGCCTCTGCCTCCAGGCT